ATTTAAATAAATGTGCGATATATCAGCACATGATCAATATTCATTATATTTAAATAGTCAACAAGAAAATCAAGCAAATTGTATTTTATATATAAATTTTTAATCATGTATATTATATTATTTTCTTATAAGAGATGTACTATATCAAATTTATACATAAAAATTATGCTTCTAAATTTTAATTCTTGTTAAATTAATATGGTTATTATACAATACGAATAAACGACTGCAAATGCTATGCCTTTTTCGTTCAATATGTTATCTTGATAAAATAAATATTTTCAAATTTGCGATATTGCAAATATCCTTATCGGATTTTAATATTAATCGTTTATAATATAAAAGTTGAATAATCGTTGCCCTCGTGATAAGATTATTACAAGTTAGTTATGACGTTCTTATCGCGCCGTTTATGGATTCAATTTCTGCAATAAATTGGCCGCCAGAAACGGATAACAACGACAAAATGAAGTATTTGCCTGCGGGCAATATATGAAAATGCATCTGACATACTATCGTAAACTACAACTCGTAAGTAACGAGGCAATTCCAACGTGGTGGCATACTTTTATCATTTCTGCGTTACGCAATTTATCTCGAAGGGATCCAAGATCTCACATTTTCTTAAGCACTCTCCACACGCGCGATTATACATATAAATTAACTAATTCATTCCTTTATTAATCCAAGCTTGCGCGTTTTTTCTGCATAAATCATCTTTTTTCCGCGCAATTTCTAGTAACATAAAAAGATAGAAAATATATTAAGTTTTTTGTTCAGTTTATATTTGACGAAACGAGTTTAATTTTCATCAGTAATACACTTTTAATTATAGTACGTAATCTTTTATCCTTCTTAGTAAAAGAAAATTAATAAGCTCTTAAAATGAAGGAAAAATAATATTTTAATATTAAAGAAAATATTTTTTAAAGGTAAAATTTCGTTTGTGCTCATGTACAGACTTTAAGAAACATAATAAGAAAAATAATTAATCAAGCAAAAAATTACTAAATTAAATATTATTATAATAAAAATAAATTTCTTACAAATCATATAGACAATTCTTAATCTTAATTGTCAATAAATTTATAAATTCTTTATACTCATTTTCCTTTGGAAAAATCAACAATAAGAAAAAATTGAAATTATCGGGTTTTTCTCGAATCTCATCGATGCTATACAAGTATCTATCACGATTTATGTAATATATACGTGCATCTATCGCTTATTTGTCGGTTAGATGCGGATACAACGGCGAGACAAAATGCATATAAATGTGCATTCCGCGGTGCTACGTGCTTCGCGTACATAAAGAACGGCGGACACGTGTCGCCAAGTTTTTCTCACATTCGTTCGTTGGCATTCGCGGATCGTTCTCGAGTCTCGTCAAGTGTTAAACGTTTTTCTATGAAACGCTATACGTTCTAGTGATTCTCTTTGCTGATCGTAACAGGTGGCAATCGCCGTGACACAAGCAAAAACAATTTTCCATAATCGATGTGTTCAATTATGAATGGAAGTTTTTTCAATATAAAGGTGTGAAATCACTTTTTTAACTTTACAGTTATGCCGCGCATTTTCGTGGGAAATGTATGAAGATAAAATTTTGAAAATTTATAAAATATTGATGAAAAACACACGTATATTTAATTTTAGTGCAAGATTGATTCAACGAGTGATGCAAAATTTCTTATAATCTGTTCTTTTTTTGCTTTATACTGTTTATGCATCGAATACAGGCACTTATATAGCAATGCAGGCTCCTCGACGTGCGACGATGCAAATTCTTTGGATGACACGCATCTCTTTACACGGAATATTTGTAAATATTTGCGATCAGTTTTTGTTTCGGCAATTTTTAAGTAATAGGCTGTGCATTTTTATTGTTAAAATTGTGAAGAGTTATATACGAAGATAGTCTGTAGAATATCGCGGTATATTCAAGAAAAGTTAATAATAAAATAAAATAAATCTATGCAAACTAGACATTCTATGTAACATTTATAACTTCGATTATTATACTAACAAAATACTCTTATTTTCCGATATTCAAAATTGAATGTATAAATGATGCTAAATTCATATTCAGATCAGTAAATTTTAAATTCAGTCAAATTTCTCAAAATTATATTTTTGTATTATTTTTATAAAAATGTACAAGTTTAAATATAATACAAGTGCAAAAATATATTTTACGTTATCATGGAAAAATATTACGTCTTAAAAATTTTTCCCGATTAAATAGAAGATTATTCTTTTGCTAGCTATTTATTTTATAATGTTCCATGACTAAGCTACCGCTCATTATATTGAGATAATTCAAATAGCAAAGTATAGTTATAATTAAGCACTTAAAATTACAATTTGTAATTTTGAATTGTATGCGATTTGCACAGAGAATATTCGCGGGAATAATTTGATGGTTTTGTACGGAACTTGTCTTATTTGATAACAATAATATGCGCAATTATTTGTATGGTACTTAGGTATTTAACGGTAAACACCAAAGAACATTTCAACATATAGTAGGATTTAATTTCGCAAAAAATAGCCTAATTATGATGAAATAATCATTGAATTAGGTCTTCTAACGAATTGCCTTTAATTTTGAGACATAGAGATAAATAATAATTGTATTAAAAGAAAAATGTAAGCTAGCTCTTTATAGCTCATTATTAATCTGTATATGTGCATGCTTATTCTATATTTGTGTAGGAAAGAAAAATAAAACTACAATTAATCAGACTAGATATAGTCAACAATTTGTTCATGCTCAAAACCGCCATTAACTACCATTAACTACTATCGAGAGAACGTTTCGACTTCGATGGAACTTTGCCCAAGCTGCGGCGAATGCGGATCTTGCATCTTGCTGTCGTATTCATTGGCCTAGTTCGGATCGTACAATTGATCCGCATACCGACCACCAGCTTCGTGTCGAATTGCACTTCATTCCCTACGTGTATCAGGCGACTGCAAACGGCGCCTCGCGTGACGTGAAGTATAATGTTGCGCCTCGTCCATTATTTTATCATCTATTGAAGATGAAAAATGGACTACCGCATATTATCGATATTTTGATCAGTCGACTTTAAGCTCACAAAAATCCTTCTGATGTAGACGTTGAGTTATAGTGCACGCTTCGCTAAAGTGAAGTAAAGTTCCGACAAGTTGCATCGTCACGCAAACGAAAAATTTCAGTCTTACGAAATAATAGTCACGCAACTTTAACGTTAAATATATGTATCAGATGTTGTATGTATATATTTGTGAATGCTAAACCAATAAATAAAGATATGTATTCCGTGTATAGACTAACCGTGATTCACGTATAAAACGAACTCTAAGAATCATAAATTCATTTTCGTATAGACCAGACATTTTTCACAATAAAGATATAAACAAAAGATTTTCCCTCGTTAAATTAGTCTATCAAAATCCTTAAATTCTCAACATAACTATATAATAATGAATTTAATAATCCAGGGCAAATGGTTTTTAATTAATCTCTGAACTAAAACGAATAAAATATATTTCATTTAATATTTTGCATTTTGCGTCCACCTCGTGTAAGGCAAAAAATAACATATCACTATTTCCTATGCAAATCTTGTAAAAGATCTGCAATCTTTTTTTTCAATTGATAATAGAATGAGAAAAAACTTTGATAAATAGAAAAATTTAAGCAAGAAATAGGAATAAGATTCAGACGCAGAAATTAGACGCAACAAAAATTTGTTTTAAAGATTTCTTTATTTAAACGATTCGGTTTTTCTTGGATCATCTTCAGTAAATTAATTACTAAAAATAATTCGTTTTGATCTTCATCCCTACCTCACGTCTTTGATAAGTCCTCGCAATCTATTCCAGTCTCTAAGAGATGACTTTAAGAGAGGAATAATCCGGGAAAAAAAACGAAAAGTTCAAATTAAAAATAAATATTTTAAGACAAGTTTTTGTTGCACCTGATTTCTACATCTGGCTCTTATTAGCCTATTTCCTACCTAAATTTCTTCTTTAAATATAAATATCTATATTTTGCTCGTACTGTTTTATTTTTACAATTAAATTAATAAATCCACATTTCTGCAATTAAAATATCTATATTAAAATTTGATAATTAAAATGTATTTTCAATTAGTGCATTGATAATGCTCGAGAAGAGTAATAAATATTTATATTTATACAAATATCTATATTTTGCTCGTATTATTTTATTTTTACAATTAAATTAACAAATCCACATTTCTGCAGTTAAAATATTTATATTAAAATTTGATAATTAAAATGTATTTTCTATTGATGCATTGATAATGCTCGAGAAAAGTAACAATGTACTTCAAGTACACTTAAAGGCATAATAAATGCAAAGATACAAATTTAGAACGTTATTTTGCAAATCTTTCAGCAGGCAAGGTCGTTTAAAAAACATCAGAGTCATTATCTATTCTCGACCCTGAGGTTTGACTTATCGGCATTTCGACGTGCCTTGTCATTAACACGACGCAAGCCGATAAACCATGCATCAGGTCACACGGAACTTCATTCGCAACGTCAAAGCTCTATTTATATGTGGTTCGTGGCTGTTTGAAGAAGTTTAAACGCGTGTCGCGGTGATACTTTCTCCCGTCCCGTGATTATTTTATAGTATCAGATATCGTACCGATTATCTCGATAATTCACTGTGTTCATTGACTGTCTGACATTTCGAAGTATAGCTCTTTGTGCTTCTACATACAGGCATAGTAATGAGATATGTTTTATTATAATGTTATATTATAATATGGTATCATATATAATATAACTAAAAGAATTCAAAATTATGTAATTTTATTGATTAAAAATATAAAAGAACTGCGTTTACTTTTTGAAGAAAAATGAATTTTCTTTCGTTATTTAATTTGAGTGTTGTTATCAAATGAATTGTCGCCTAATTCCAAGAATTTTGATAACCTGCAATAAAGCACACAATGAAAAAATGTGTCCTAATTTTTTTTCAGACACGGTGCGGTCGATCGTCCTTCTCCTTCAGACTCGCTCCCTTATATCTCAAGGCAAACGAAGATTACGCCCTGCGACTCCGAAATATCGACGGATGTGCCTGGTTCGTCGAAAGTGCCGTCAAGTCCGGAATATATCCAGGAAGTACGCAAAGACAGCGCATTGTACCTCGAAGAAGTGGAGGAAACCCCGAAGCCGACTTTGGAGCCGACTTCCACGGATGTCCGAAGACAAAGCAGCGGCTACGTGAGCCCTCGAGGTAGCTTCGACGATATTAGAAGAAGCTCTACGAGCGGTGACACGCAGCCGCAGGATCTATTGTCAACGGAGAGACGTGTATCGAGAACGAAAGCCTTGACTAAGAACCTTGCTTATAGGGTAGAAGAGAGCATTGAGGAGCACGAGCTGACCCCAGATACACCGGAGAAGAGAATGCCGACGACAGAATTACACAGAAAGGTGTCGAGCTCCGGTCTCGACATGCCCAGCATCAAGGAGATGAAGGAGGTCCTCAAGGAAAGACTCTGCTTCAACAGGAAAGCCCCGAGGGCAACGAATTAACAGAAGACGTCGGTAAGTAAACTGTATCACTATCAATATGATTTAGTGTAATCGGAGTGATATTTCGTATTGTTACAAGAGTACACACACGCACACACACAGATTCTCAAGTTGGATAGGACGATTCTTAAAACCCGTGGACAACTTGTAATTAAGGACCCTTCGTAAGAACATTTATACATGTAAACGACAATATCAATTTTTAAGTGTATAAATATATTGTATATATGTTTTATTATAATATTTTTTTAAGTAATAAAAAAACTCACATCTCCACAATTTTCGCGTTCCACAGTTTTATATATAAAAATATTATTATAACGCAAAAAAATTGTGAAAATGTGAGTTTTTTATTACTTAAAAAAATGTATACTATAATAATAAAAACATTATTTTTTTATCCTATCTTATACATCATTATATATGTATATATTTCCTAAAAATGTGTTTTTTTTTATTTATGAATTCTTTCATTTAATTTGATATGAAAAATAACAACGTAAAACACTCCTTTTTTTTTGAAAAAAGTTCTTATCAAAATTAAATAATAAAAATTAAGCAAAATTGATTTTTAATATCGTTAATATCTGTTTAGCCAAATTGCAAGTGACGTCGCACAAGGATCTTTCGCATGAAAGCGGCGAAAGTATGCGAGAGATGGATGAGGCAGCAAGAATCGGCACAACTATCGGATTGAGCGACTCAAGTTTGAAGAGTGCTCCAAACACAAATGTGGCAACTGCTATTGCCACAGATAGTCAAATAGTAGATACGAGAAAATTGTCCTTGCCCGGTGAAGCACGACCGAGCCAACGATTGCTCGGGGAAACTGTCAATGTCACCGACAAATCCGTTCCTCCTCGCTACCCTTACAGCAGTCCTCAAGGATCGCCCAGGATGCGCAACAGAGCACTCAATAGAGAGCACTCCGTTGGAGCCACCACGTGCAGCTTCATCGATAACCAGCACGACAGCCAACAATTGAATCAATATAAAGTGCTGGATGAGGTCGGAAAGGTAAGATTAAATTTATAAAATCTACTTGAAATCAAGATAAGATAATTCTATTATTTATCTGCTTTCTGAAAAATTATTGAATATTCTTAATCGCTTATAACTGAAAAATCATTAGCAAAGTCTTCCTTTATTAAGAAAATATCATATTTTGTATATTTACCCAATAATCTATACGTAAGAAATAACACAGAGCATTTATTTCAGTGGTTGATAATAAATGGAATATATTTTTCAATTATTCGAGTTACAAATGTGCAAATCCTACAATTGCTGGAAACTGTACAAGTAGCAATTAATTTCTATTTTCTAAAGAAAATCTCTTTAATCTGTTCTGAGAAGAAAAATATTGCAGATATCTCGCACTGAACAATTTTGCGATAGATATAGCTTGCGTTATGATGGAGTCTTTCCAATTATATCCGCGACATTTTAACAATCAATAATTCATCGATAAGAGGATCTACGTATTACTTTTCTTTCTTTGAAGAGCGAAACCATTTCACGGCGGTTACATATCCAATCAGAGAATAATATAATTATCGACATCGAATATGAGCTCTTCCTCGATAACCAATAACTGGCGCCGCGAGTCATCATTTTCAGCAATTTCCACTCCGTCCTTCCTTCCTATTAAGAAATAATTAATAGGAACGCAATTATATACGGATCACTGATAAATTATATTATTACATCACATTTGGTATTGACCGCAGGAGCAGAAATTTAAATAAAAAAAAAAAAAAATGATTAAAATCGTCATCGTTTTTGCACTTATTTATTTTAATTGCCGACCTATTTACGATATAAATAGAGACTGAAATTTTTTCTCCGTTAATGAGCACGTTAATTTACTGATGCATTTTCTCGAGAATTGTTTACTATACGGCTTTTGTTTAATGAATTCAGTTCTTTCCTTCAGAATCTCCCTCCCTCTCTCTTTTTCTCTCTAGATACACTTCTCACTTCTGGCTCAACTTGTGATAATCTTTCAATCAATGAAATAAAGATTCAAACGATAACTTAAATAAAAAACGCTTAATCATTTCCGTGCGAAAATGAAAAGACAACTGAGGAAAATCTTGAATAAACTTTGCGTATAACAAATAGAAAGGTTAAAAGTTCATTCGCGCAATTTCGAAGAATGAGTTTCATTTCTTCGTAAATGGTACTCGAACATTTCGCTTGAATAAAAGCGCACATAGAAGCGTGGTAGACAATGCGGTGCTCGCTTTGATGCTTACGTATTCGACGTAGCGTGATTGGATTCAAAACAGATGCAAGAACGAGAACGAGATAACCATCGCAATAACTTTGCACTTTGCCATAACCGAATGAAAAGCGCGAAGCTTTCGCGAGAAGTTTCATGCGCGCGATCTTGAGGTTCAAGCTGAGAATTTCAGAGATCGTTTCTCGGGAGAAAAATAGAGAAAGAACGAAAAAAGAGAAATATATTCCTTTTTTTATAAACAAAGTCAAATGTCATTTCTTATGAGATTATTTCCAAGGAATGTCGCCGATGTATAATATAAAGAACGAAAGAGACAAATTCGCTAAATCTCTTTTTCTCATTTGTTTAAAGATATACATTCGCGAACTCTAAATTAAATTCTTCATCAAAATAAAAGATAAAGTAAGAACCGGTAAGAACGATCGATCGAAATAAAATTTAACATTTAATACCAATTTAACGTTTAATGAGTTCAACTCCAACGACGTTGACATAATATCACGAAATCACCATCGTCGCGTATTTATAAACGACGTATTAATGTCGCGACCTGTCTCTTTTCCGGCCACGTCATTACATCGATCTACATAATTATATTGCAATGTTCTCGTCGAGATAAGTAAAAAAACCGAACTATGCCATGATTACCATATTATTTACATCAAGAGCTATTTCTGTGTGATGAACTAATTCATCCCACAGATAAATTAAATAACATTGAGGAGATGACTGACACCAACTTCAATTGATAATAAATGATGTGACACACTTAGGCCGGTTTTTTAAATAATAGTTTAAACTTCGATCTAAGTTTAAACTATTATTGAAAAATCAGTCCTAAATAATATAATTATATATATATATATATATATTCATATTTCTAGATTTATATAAATTGTATATATAAAATAAATTAATAAATATTGTGTTTTGTACGATAACTATAAAAATGTATAAATAATTAATTTCCAATTAATAATAAAATTCCGCGAAACATTCTATAATTATAAATAGTTATTTTTCTAAGTCTATGACATTATATGTATAATATTTTCAAGTTGCACAAAATCAATTTCAAAAAGCTATATACGAGATTAAAATACATGCTAGAGATATTTTTTAAATCTTGTTTTCGTTCTTTATGTTTATCATAAAATAAATGTCTGCCATAATCCAGTTGAATGCGTTCAAAGATGATTATACAATAAACTATAAAATTATACCATTCTTGATAGCATCACTAGTGACCTTCATTTTAGTTACTACAAACGATGCAGATCATGATAATGACATTGTTGAACCATAAAAAGAGTTGCAAAGTTAAGATAAAAGGATGCGGAAAGAGAGTCAGTGAGATTATCGATAAAACACGATTTTTCACATGATATATATCGCGTTTATCTTAAAGGGCTACTTAATAACGTCTTTTCATATTCATATCAGAATTGTTTCGCACGGATTTTTGTCGATAATAATAAAAAAGAAAAATACTAAAATATTTCTAAAGAATTTTTGTATATACATTGTATAATACATATTTAATTTAATTATTATAAACTATTATAAACTAGTGATACTGGAAAACAAAAACAAAAGTGAAGGAAGAAAGAGAAATAAGAGAAAAAACGCGTTGACCTAGTAACATTAAAAGCGATTAAAATATAATATAATTTTTCAACTAATTTCGATATTATACGTTATCATAATTGAAATTGTTTTAATTTTAAGGTAATTAATTAATTTTTTTAAATTAAAAAATAAAATTTTATAATTAAATTAAAAAATTAGTAATTATATATGTATATACACAATATATATAATAAATAATTAATTTTCTTTTTATAAATTATAAATAACTATTTAATAATTTTAATTAAAATGTTTTAACTATAGAATTCTCCATCAAAAAATTATATGATAATTTTTTCAAAAACAATAATGCATTTATTCGGCAAATTTTGAAAAAAAAATTAAAGACTACATTGAGAAATAATTAGTAATTTCACGTAGAGAAATCTCTTCAAAAAGATTCAAGCGTTATTTTAAAAAAAATACGCTGTGTTCTCGCATATTTATTTATATGACAATTCGCACTTGATTTTAGGGCTCTTTCGGTGTCGTGAAGAAGGTTTACAATGAAGACGACGGAGTGCATTACGCAATGAAGATACTTAGCAAGAGGAAATTAATGAAGAAGACGGGGATATTTGGTAGGATACCTCCGCGTAGGGCAGGTGCCGATCCCTTGGCGAAAGTTTACAAGGAGATCGCCATCCTAAAAAAACTCGATCACCCTAATGTCGTGAAATTGGTCGAAGTACTCGACCATCCTGACAAGGACAATCTCTACTTGGTCTTCGAACTGGTGCATAGGGGCGAGATTCTCGTTATACCTACCGAAAATCCTCTGACAGAGGAAACGGCCAGGCGATACTTTCGCGACGTCGTTATAGGAGTCGAATATTGTGAGTCATATTATTTATGTTAATGAATTCTATATATTTCAATTGGAGAGATCAATTTTGTTACTTTCATTTATCTCTTTAAAAACTTTTAGATTATCAAATTATTAATCATCAAAATTGTATCCTAAATATTAATACGGTGCATATATGTATATCCCCCTAAAATTAATTTTTTTAGTACTCACCTTATATATCAGAAATTAAGTATTCGAAGCTTAAAAGTTATTTTCTTTTTTACCTTATCATTGTTTATTTCTAAATGCGTTCGTAAAATTAAAGATTCAAATTAGGTTCTCTTTAATTGGATATCACATGCCATAGTATATAACCATATTTAGCATGCACATTGCATCATGTTTATCACTTACGCATTAAATAATAGTATTGAAATGCTCTCGACAAATGGATTTATATAATTTATTTAGCGCCTGTTACGGGATCATACGAACACATACACAGCGCTTATCGCGGATCAATGACGGAATAATTTAATCGGCAACTGACTTATCAAATAATATCTACATTTTTAAATAATATTTTAAATTAATATTACAATGAAAAAAAGAGAATTATCTCGCATTTTCTTTCTTTTTATATTTAATGAGTAAACTTTTTGTATAAAACGTATAAAAAACATTTTATTTAATAAAATATGAAGAATTTCAGAAAGTATATCGAAATTTTGGAAAAAATATTGACTTTATAGATATATATAAAGTTAATTTGATAATAATCAAATTAATATTTTATTTCTCCAAAAAATAATGAAATATACGGAGCAGTTACAAGCGCGCGTTTTACATACATCCCTATCACCGCTAGAAATATTATAAAATAACCAGATTCTCACTCACCGATACACCGTGCAATAGCGGAGTTGTAGACAGCGCATTGATCTGAAAAAAATTCAAATTACGCTATATTGGCATAAAAATGATTATATATAACGCAAAATAATATCCACGAAGATAAATCAAGAAATTTGACCAGTAGCGAATAAATTGAGTATAAAATCGAGTTATATAAATGATATTTATTTTGCATACCTCATAGTTGATCCGCTATCGCCGGATGCTTCCCCGAGCCTCCTTTTTCTCTTTTGGTCCTTCATAGCACTCACACACTCGCGAAAACACGAATAATTACGATCGCCCGACACTTTACACGGCACTCCCGATACGCGTGAATCGCACTGTTATCTGTAACAAATAAAATGCATACATATATATTAGAGCAATCTTGTTATTTCGCATTACAGGATACTTGATATAAATATGGTGAAAACTCATAAATATGAATTATTTAAGTGCCCACGAAATGAGACGCCAACTTTACACACAATTCATAATGAAATCTCAATAAAAATAATACGTTGAATTAAAAGAGAGGTCACATTACTATTCAATATTTATTGTTATGTGCGCAGTGCATTACCAGAAGATAGTGCATCGTGACATAAAGCCAAGCAATCTACTGGTGGACAGAGACGATAGAATTAAAATTGCTGATTTAGGAGTCAGCACGGAATTAAGAGAACCTGGAGAATTATTGTCAGGGAAAGCTGGAACGCCGGCCTTCGCGGCGCCAGAAGTATCTATTACTAACGCACAATACTCAGGACCAGTAAGTATATTCATAACGTTTTATCATTTTATTACATTCATAATATTATTTTCATAACATAATGTATAATCGATGCTTAATATTTTTAAAAATCCGGATAGAACAAAAACAAATTCACTCTTCCCTTTTTCCTTATAGTCTAAAAACAAATATATTTAATTGTGATAAATAGATATTACTTACTGTAGGGATGATAATAGTAGCAGTACAATTTATTGTAGAGAGCATATTTATGCACCATAATCTATCTATATATTTCTGCTCTCGTAAGTCATGTTCAGATATATAATAATAATTTAAATTAAGAGTTTAACAAGAGTTAAAGTTTTTTAAATTTATTTAAAGAAAAAGGGATTCTATTACTTGTAAAATTTTAATATTTTTAAAATGATTTGATGATTTATTCTTTTCATAAATTCTTCATCATATTATGCAATCATATTCATCATATTATGCAACCGATCTTTCTTCTCTGTCACGTCTATTAGAATAATTTTGACTTAAATTCTAATTAATTTAATTGGCAATTAACGTATCAAATAATATCAATATTTTGTTAATATGATTTTTAATATGAAGAAAATTATTAATTTTTTTCTCACATTTCATATGTATACAGAAAAGTAAATTAAATTAGGAACGAATTACATAAAAATGTTGTTGATAAGAAATTAAATGAATATCTAAAATAATTATTAATTTTTGTTGATTTAAGAAATGATATCCAGTTAAATGAAGTAAAAAATGCCGATTAAGGTAATCGGAGTTTGACCGAAGAAATTCCAGAATAATTTCATAGAAAAGTAAACTTTTTTGAGCATCGAATTGCACATTATTTTCCGCACACAATACGTGATACGCTTGCGATATGCATTCGTAATACACGGCGCATCATATTCACAATGAAACAAGATCGAACAACCACGTAACAACGCTAACAAGTAACACGCGCGTGCACGCAACGCGTATTCAGCAGTTGATCTCGCTTCGCGGATTAAAAGTCGATAAATCGACCGACTATTCACGTCATTTCCACCCGCATAGCAGTGACCTCTCGAACCGCAGAGCTGACACGTGCGAATTGACCTACATGCATCGCGAGAGAGGCTCTTGATGAAGGAGCCCTAGCTCTCACAATCGGTGTACATCTATACGTTTCGTGATTATAGCAGAAAAGACTTTTCGGCCGCCCTCTCAGATGTCGATCGACTGACTAAACCCACTTCAATTAAAGCGGCTAAAACGCGTGCACATCGCGTCGTTTGTTCCGAATAGTGCTTTAAATGAGTCGAATGCAACGGTGTGATGAACTGATAAATTGACAAAGAAACGCGCAAAGTGACTGATGCAGCGGTGAAATAATCTGTCACAGCTGCGTTAAGTTCGCGTTAGATTGCATGCGTACAGGCGCGAAACCCTCGCCAAAAACTGATGTACTAAATTTCAATTTTATACATTTTTATTTATAGACGAAAATCTTGTAATTAGTTCGCTGAAAAAATTAAACATATATTCAAGATATTAAAAATTTATGCGAAATGTTTATACGGAGCACATATTTTCAAAATCCCATCATTATTTCGAGTTAATTCAATCATATTTGCCTGGATTAATTTCAAATATTTTCCTGGAAAAATTTTAATGTATCTCAACATTGTAATATGCGAGAAAAATTTTGCAGTAATAATAATGCATAAATTATTCAGAAATGGAAAATATGCAATACGTACATATTCTAGAAAACACAGTAATTGCTAAGCTTCAACGGCTACATACATATAATGTTTTTATTCTGTTTTTCTTGGTTTTTTTTTTCAATCAGTGTTTCGCGATCAGATTACAATTTACGCGAATACACTCCCGTGAGCGTTGATTACAACAAAAAATAATTGGAGTAACACAATTGGATTTTAAATCACGATTTATAACATGTTGCACAATAAGCGGCTGTCAAATATACCTACACGATAAAAAGATATGATGTTAAGATCTCAGTATTCAATATCAAGACCCGCGAATCCATTATTTCAAGATTAAAATTTTTCATCAAATTTTTTATATTGATTATAAATATTTATTAATATTTTGAATGCAATAATGATGTAATAAAAGAGAAGATTTTATATTATTAAAATAATTGGATAATACATGTTTTGTAAATTATAATATCTTTATCCTGTGCGTTTATATGCGCGTAGGTGTGTATGTTAATCAAAATAACTTAATTTATAGTTAATTGTTTTGTAATAAGTAAATTGTTTTGCAATTGATAGTCTGGCAATGAGTTGTGTATAATGTATAATTGAATCTATTATTATACTTTGCTACGTTTTTCTCCGTCCTACGCATTTTTAATTATTAGAAAAGTTCATAGTTCAATTATATCTCAGATTATGCCTCTGAATTATGTGCCAATCCTCTATCTACTAATATAAACAATTAATATATTAATATAAGATTTCTTATATTCATAATTGATATAAAAAAATTGTAATCTCTGTATGCATTATTTTCTCTGAATGTGTGCTATATTTTTATTTCTTCTCACAGCTCTGATTTTTAATTGTTTATTTTTATATTTCTTTCACGAGCGTCCATATTCGCGCACGTCAAAAAAGTAATTTAACGCACACATTGTTCGAAATGCATCGTAGGTGAAAAAGCCATCGAAACTTTGTCGCGCAGGAAAAGTGACATAAATCTCGTCTAGATGGTCACAGGCGTAAAATGAACGTTTACCGGTTGCATTATTACGCTTCTCTCCCGAGAGGGAGAGGAAGAAAGAGAAGCATATAATTTAGCACGCGATGGCAACTATATAATTCGAACTATATGTATATGTATCCCAAGATTACTTTTGACCGAGACTGTCACGCTATCGCATGACCTTATCAACGCACCACGACCGATCGCTTGAATTTCCGCCGTGTCGCCGCGTGGAGGAAAAGCGATATCTATAATAAGCAGTTCACGATCCGCGGATCTACACGCTCGATTACGCTTAATCCAACCGCCGTAAAGTACCGTGGCGAAATAAATGACTACCAGTTTAACGAGTGGAAACGCGAGCACGGGAAATCGCGAATTTGCAGTAATCCCGGCCAAATCATCCGCAATCTCTAAATAAATACACACACAAGTCGCTTGAAATCTTGAAGATGCAATTCGATGATAAGATGAGAAATCAAATAGAAAAATCATAATAAAATTGATGAGAAATAAAATAGAAAAATTATAATAAAATCGAAGTCAGTTACATAGTATAAAACGTTAAAAATTATATTATTTTTCGGATACCGATAATATATTTTCTTGTTGATGAATATATCAATTAACTTTGTAATGCATATATTTAATTAAATAAATCTAAATATTTACTAAAATATTAGCTCTAGCGAATTTTGCAACTTTGCATATCAATGAACAATTTTTCTGATTTGTTTATTGTAATTTATTAAAGAAATTCTCAAAAGTAATAGCCAATTATTCAAAAAGTTGAACAATAATTAATAATAGTTTTTATTTGAAAAAAATATTCCATAAAATAATATAGAAAAATATATTTTCATATAAATTATTACTTTTATCTTCATTTCAAATGTCGATATATGTATAAACCATTTTTTATATAATATATATTTCTTATATATAATTCGATATTTACAATACTTTCATCCATTCAAACATTAAATAGTACATTTGGAGTTTGCAATATTTTTTCCAGATAGTCTTTTATGTAACTATTTTTTTTAATACTGTGAATATTTTATATGAATTTGTTTTTGCATATGCTTTTATTTTTTTAGTCTCTTAATATTATTTTAGTTTCTCTATAATAACTTTTAGCAATGTATAGGTGAATGTGTTTTTTCAGTCGTTGATGTCAGTAGTTTTTCTGCTCATTGTCAATTTTTCTTTTTCTCTTGACAAAAAATATTCTCGATTCCTTTTTATTAGCAATATATTTTCACGATAAAAAGGATATTTCTCTTTTTCATGCTATGGATATTTCAATCTTAAATTTATTCCAATATGTGTTTCAAATATTTAATTTTTATCATAATTTAATTTTTTTAATTTTTAAACTTTATTTTTAATTTCGTTTTAAACTTATTTTCAAAAATCAAATTTGATAAATTCCATTATATCTATTTACCTTGATTAAATGAATTAAATAAGAAAATAGATTAATATTTCATCTTAGAAATGTTAAAGCAAGAGTTAATGGAACAGATGATGAGAAAGCACTTCATAGTAAAAATTAAAGAAATATTTACAGAAAAATATGAATAAAAACGTATTAACGCAAAGCAAGATGCACAGATACAAATCAATAAAAAAATATTATTTAATTAATCTCCCATATGTATACAAATTTTATTTGTAAAAAATCTTGTATAAATATGCATGATTTTTCGCATGTTTTTGATAGAAATTGTATGTTTTTGCACAGTGCAAAATACATTTTATTCATTCATTAAAAAAATTCTCATATTATAAATTCTAATATTATAAAATTCATTCATATTATAAAAAAATTATAATTGCAAAAATGCGTAGTAAAGAGTTTCATAGAAATACATTATTTATAAATTAGCATTCGCTTATCGTACACATTATATGTTAATATACTTGAATAAAATTACACTGTTATTAAAATTTGCGTACAAACCTAACTAATTTAATGGTTAGCAAATTTATTCAATAAAAAATATAAACAGTGCAAACAATGTATTAAAAATTCCAAACATTTTCGAAATAGTTTAACATATTTATTTTGCTCCGAATTTTCATTTTTCTTGAAAATTCAGAACTACCGTAACACATAAAAACATTGGATTATTAGAAGATATAATAATATAGCACACAATTTAAATGAGAAAAAAATAGTATAAAATTTAATATATTTAAAGATCCGATACGTATTATTTATGCATCATCTATGCCTATTTCTAACCAACTAAGGATGTTTTTTTAAATGTCACAGGATATAAAGTTCACGGACGTGTTTATCTCTGAAGCTAGATTCCTATATTCTTTTTATAGATAAGAAACATTTTCTTTATGGATCTAATAAACATAGAAGCTTGACATTTTCAGATTATTTTACGGATGATATAATATGCACAAAGAAAGATTTTTGTAAAATAAAATAGTTATCTTTTATTTCAAATTTAACTGAAATAATACAGGAAAAAATTATAAAAGAAAAATTAATTATCTTATATATATATATGCATATCAAAAATATTAAGTGTCTTTTTTTACAGTAAACTCTAAATAATAGAGAGAGAATTTTATATTTTACGCAGAGTTCTTTCTCTTCTATTCGCGAAAGCTCGCGCAACGTTTGTGCGTCGACAATGTTTCTCGCAGATGCTATTTAATTAATCGTTCCTTTAATTATGCGCCGACGTCGCATCGTCTTTATAGAACTCGCAACTTTTGTCGTCGGCGCTTTGTGCAACATGACTTCCGCAAATGAAGCATCCTAATTATGTACTATGTCAGAATACATTGTATTTCGTAATTATATTTTCTTATAATTACAATACAGTACATCGAACTGCAGTATCCTATACATTGAAAAAAAATTTGTTAACTTGACTAAACCTTTCAATTAAATTACTATTTTATTAATTAAACATATATTGGTATTAAAGTCAAATATATACGTTTTATTAAATTTATTATATTATATTTAATTTAAATATTTTCAATTAACAAAATAATATTTAGTTGAAAGGTTTAGCCGAGTTAACAAATTTTTCAGTGTAAATATGATTATTCATGGTAGTAAATATTTCTCATTTAAATATTTGCTATGGTAATTTTTTCAATATTAAATTATTAATTTTTTTAAAGATTTTCTCTCTTAATAGATTCTCTTTCTATAAAAGAGATCAGAGAGGTAATTTAAATACAATATATTAAACTAATTTATTTTAGCAAGTTAAATATTCAGAAAATATATTGAGAAATGACTAAATTATTTTTCCTAATTATAGTTAAAATTCTCGTGAAATTAGTTTAATAATAATAAAAATTTTTTATCGTAAATGCAATTGTCTTTTACGTGTAAAATTTAAAACTGATCTTAAGGCTCTGTTTATAAAGTTTCGATTTTCTTTTTGACAACTCCAGAGGATCTGAAGAAATTTTAAAATTGTCATGAAAGAAAAATATATATTTATTTCCTTGCATTAAACTCTATTGTGCAAGATTCGGAAAATAATGGGATAGCCCAATACTCAAGCTCCTCGACATTTCATAAATGAGCAACTATAATTACTTACAATTAGCTTAATTTATCCGATGATATCTCGATATTTCTCGATACATCAACGATACAGTCAATTACAATCGCATATTAATCAAACCGTAAAATGCTCACCCGTTCAGTCACACAGCATTTCCGACGTTTGATCATATCGCGCATATATGTAATTGTTTTGTCTTCGTTCAGCATCGATCTTGTTTGGTCGGATAAAAAACGCGTCCGATCATACGATCAAGCGCATTAATAAAATCCATTGCACGTGAAAAAGTTTCAATTATAACCGTGTAAGCTGATCTATCAATCACAGTCAAACATTAATTCTCACAACGCAAAAATGTGTGATCATGATTGGTCGATTTATTTACGATTTTATATATAGTTACGACCATGGACGTCCGCAGGATTTTTTTCAGAGAAGGGAGCATAATTAAAATTTTTTGTTCTTAATTTTTTACATTTAATATTTTAATTTTAATTTTTTTTATACATTAAATATGCAAAAATAATTTTTTTTAATAATCTCTGCGGACACCCATGTTTACGACTAAAATTTGTTCACGTGTGGACTTCATAAGTAAAATATAATGTACAGATTACGACGCTCCTGATATATCGCGTGCAATGCTGTCAATTTATCACGTGCGCGACACTTTCTCAGTTCCGAGAATTGAATTGATACTATCATATGTAACAAGTGTCCACACATTGTATATAAATAGAAAGACAGACAAGATACTCGGCTACTTTCTATCCTTTAATAATATAAAGGAAACATAAAATAATACGCAATTTTCTTTCTTTTTCCCAAGACAAATATATACATATGCATATAACCAATACATAGTAGCTATCTTTAATATGGCGTACACACACCCACACACACATCGATTGTACGCAAATAGAAGTAATAACCTAACCTGTCTCAATCCACCGATTCCTCCGAAGCTCCTCGAGGCTCCTTGATATTTCTCGATATTCCTTGATGCTTCAAATATTCGTGAAACTCATCATATACATCGTAGACATGCGAATACCTTGAATATACACACGAAAGGAATAAAGTCCTTCGCAGGCCGGCTCCGGTTCGACACACGGGGGAACAACGGACGCCGATTTCGATGATCGAGAAAAGCTTTTACCGTGATCACGCGGATCAATTAACACACGATCGTCCGTCACCAGATTCGGCACTCCCGAAACTCGTTCGTACACGAAATTCGCCCGGGACGGGTAAAAACTACGGGAGCGCGGCGCGAACGTGACTCGATCTCCAACCGGCGACGCGTGATGTGAAGTAAAGCGCTTACGTGCGCGCCTAAATTCTGTCACGTGACAATGACGTACAGGTCGCGCGCGAAAATTTCTCCCGCAATCGAAAGATTAATCAGAGCATTAATATTGCGACTCATATATATTTTACTCTCTCCACCATATTACTCTTTCCATGACAGAACAATCTATAGTAGGAATTCCAAGCATATATTTAGTTTTTATACCTTTTTCAATTACAAAAATAGAAAGAGAGAAAAATGAGAGTGCAAATAAGAGAGAGAGAGAGAATTTTTGGAAGCATCCGTTTTTATTATACAGAGTTAAGTTTCATTAAATAATACCATTATTATTCAGAAATTCTATTTGCAAATTTGTTATTGACTTCAAAATATTTGTTATCTGCGTGCAAACATTTGGTACAGATAAAATGAGAGACGAGATGATCAACGCCGATTAAATATATTGAGAAACGCTTTTATTGTGAGCTCGACGAATCAGTTAACGCACGAAGATTACACACGAGCCTGTCACTGGATTCGGCACTCCCGACATTCGTTTGTACACGAAATTCGCCCGGGAATTCGCTGAAAAACGCGGGAACGCGAAATGAGTCTCTCTCGTTTGCGACGAGTAACCAGCGACGCGTGATGTGAAGTGAGCAGCGATTAATGCGCGTCTATATAAAGTCACGTGACATGCTTAAAATTGCGCGAAAATTCTTTTCAGTGATACGATTAAAAAATATTAATAATAGCATTTACATTGCGTACGATATGTTATTATTGCAAAATAATTTCTATTTGCATTATTTATTTTATTAATTATACGTTTATTATTTATTTATTAAGTATATTATTCATTAATAAAATATATATATTTTTAATATTATGTATGTATATGTTGTATACATATATATAGATTACAATATTTGAAATTTATAATTAAATTTTAATAAATAATGCAAGAAATAATGTAATAATAATCCATGCGATCATGATTAAAGCATCTCTCGGAATTTGTAATCGTTGTTCCTCGTCTCACGTTCTATCGAATTGAATGTTTTTAAAAGAATATTAACTAGAGAATATAGTTCTAAAAAACAAAAATAATAAAATATGTTATTTTTAATAGATTGAGCTATAGCTACCAATTGTTTTTCTATATTTTCTTTTTGCATATTTTTTTCTATATATTTATATATTTCCTATTATTAAAGGTTACATTTTTTTTAAGAAACATAAAAACTTCACTTTTTAAATTTTATCAAAGTAAAATATCATGCTAATATTTAAAAAATTAAATCGATATTACAAAAAGAAAACTTGGTACATTATAATGCGTAGTAGCAAACAATAGACTAATACTTTTTATATACCGTGATCTTTTGCATATAATCTGATCAACCCACACTGTACAAGCTTAAATTCGCGTTTATTACATTGAACACACAGAAACGATATTATTATTTAATAATACCTGAATGCCCTCACAATACTTTCGCATTTTTTCTCATTAAACCTTTGACCTATTCATCAGCTTTTTATTTTGCTGCTGCGTACGCATACAAATCATTATTTAAATATACAAACAATTAGATGATATAACACAATATAAAATCAGAATATGGCTTACACTGATTAAACTGATATTATTATATATGTATATATTATCAATACAAATTCACTTACATTGTTTGACAGATAGAGCAAATTGCTTTATCAAATTAATCGTGTATTGTTAGACAAAGTTTCAACATATTATTTATCGTTAAAAACCTATATAAAAATGCTTGAAAATATTGCTTTACAATTTTTTATAATTTAACGATATACCAGCAGAACATTTTAAATTTTAAATTAAACTTTTCTACATATAAAATGTGGTAGCGAATATGCAATATTTTTTTTAATTATAAAACGACGATCCATTCTAATCGATAAAACACGCGTTATATAACTATATCTAACGAATCGAGATAATGAAAAATTGTAGACGAATAAATCTGATTTCAGCCCTGCGATGTATGGTCAATGGGAGTAACGTTATTCGCACTTGTGGCCGGACATTTGCCTTGGAACGATTCTGATGGCAGAGCCATTCACGAAATTGTTCGTCAGGAACCACTCGTATTTCCTTCGCGTCGCATGTCTCTGGATATGCGTAATTTGATTGGGCGGATGCTGGATAAGATGCCGGAAAACAGAATCACAATCTCGGAGATGAAGCAACACTCCTGGCTGACTAATAACGCAACCGAACCACTGCCGAGCGAGGCTGACAATTGTCGCGTACCAGTCACTGTCACCGAGGAAGAAGTCATCAGACTCGGCACCCTGCTTATGGTTAAGAATATGCTGAAACAGCACAGTTTCCAGGTGAGTGAAAGCTGTATATTTCATCCGAAAAATTCAACAAGATTAAGAGAACGACTTTAACCATAGAGCATTATTGAGCGAAAGAATTACGAATATAATATAGAATTGGAAAACACTTTCTGTCATAATCGTGCGATGCATTTTCGATTAGATTTATCAAACGCTCTCGAACTGTTCTCAAACTGCTTATTAATATGTTTTTGTCAAAATTTAAAATATATTTTTTCTCTCTGAAAAAAGTAAGACACTTTTATAACGTTATACTAAAGCACGAATAATTGTGATACACGGATATCAGAAAGCAGCCTTCATATGATCGCTTTTGCGACGAGTTGCAACAATATATATTACGATGTGTATGTGTATCCGTTTAACCCCACTGTAAGGACGCGTGTATCTGCGTAAATATTACATCATGACAGTTTTGACATGTGTACATCAATAATATCTCAATAGATGTATATTCACGTTTAGTCTTATAAAATACAAATACAAGTATTTGATAATGATATTTCGAACGCATCGGTTATATTTATAATCGTGTTTGTAATAATAAAATAATTATTGAAAACATCGACAAATATAAAAGAAAATAATTGTTCATCGGATTACATTGGTGCGTTGAATGTGAGCTATGTTTTACATACGATTCTATTTGTCTAAACGTCAATAAAATTTCAATAATGCTTCAGCATGCTTTAACAGCATTGATAGAAATATCTCATTATGTTTGTGTTGTGAAATGCTAGGGATTTCAGTAATTATATTTTATTTCCTTTTCTAAAAGAAAGAGGGAAAGAAAGAGAGAAAACCTTTTCCTTGTGAAACAGTCAAATGTAATAGTTAAAATGACATCTAACGCGCAACAATTATTCTTGACTTATAATTCATTGATCAAAAAATACTTCACATCGTTAATAAAAATTTATTATATTATATATATTTCTAATCAAAAATAATACGCGTATAAAATATAGCATTAATATTCGTAGCATGTTTTTATCATAATTACATATTTTAAATTAAAATTAAAACGAAACATTTTATAAGAACTTGAAAATATATTTGATTTTTTGATGGTTCTTGAGATTGCAAAACTCGAATCAAAACTCAATTAAGCACAGATTTCATTAAACATGTTGGCACACGTTAATCACATCCTCTTCCGTTTACACTGATCGTATTGTTTAACTACTAACTATCGTTTACACCAAGACAATTAGCATCCATAATGAATGTACAGCTACCAGTGCGAAATAACATGATTATACATCCCGCAATAATCAACGCACAAACTATTCTGACTATAATCAATCACCGATAATCGCCGATTAATTATTGAAAGAACAAAGTAAGATTTACACATAATTTTACGTATAACATCTTATTTTAATATTATATATATATATATATATATATATATATATATATATATACAATATATATATAATATAGATGGTTTTTTATAGGCATCTCTTCTTGATTTTTTACATTTCACATATTTATCGAGATATAATAAATGAATCTATTTGAACAATTCATCTACGATTTATGTTTTTTTAATTTTGATTGTGAATTTTAAAAATATTTTTTACAATATTTGTTGTGTGTTTACTATCGATAAATGATCAAATAAATCGTGGACTTAACAAAAGTACGCACAGAATTTTTGGATATTTCGTAGAATTTTAATTTTTTTCAAAGTTTGAATGAATTCATTGAATTATACAAATATTTTACCTTAATTAAATAAAATAATGTGATGTATAAAAAATCCACGATATTTTTAAAGACAATATTAAACTCGTTTTTATTGAATAAAAATTACATGTTACATTACTGACCACACTATACTTACTCTCTAAACTTTTTAACATTTAAACCAACATAGGTAATATAATTTCTGTGAAAATAATAAGACATAACGAATAACAAGAAGAATCAATTGGAAAAAGGAAACCAATATACTTATAAAGCCGATAGTTTATTTTGCATAGCTTTCTTAAGAATAATAAGAATGAAAAATAAACAATTATAATTAGATAAAAAGTGATTTTAACTACGAACTTACACTCAAACTCACAATATTCTCGATCAAAACACTTTCTATTCTTCTTTTCCATCATTTGTGTGCATTGAAATTCGCATGAAAAATCGATCTATAACGAAGCAAATTAGCATTTTTATCGCCGATGCGAACTGTCGGCTCGCAAACTTCGCGAGGAAAAAGTCAACATTCAACATTCTCCGCAATTATCAAGTCATAAAATGAAAAGTAGGATAAGAACGAAAATGATTTTTGTTTTCAGAATCCATTCTTGCCAAAGCGACGAATGGCAAACAACGCGCAATCGCCAGCGAGCGGACAAGAAAGTGGTGCAACTTCATCAGCGCAACGCGATGCGATGAGGGAAGCGAAAACGGAACGTTTTCACGAGTCCGGAAGAAGCAATTCCGCACCGGACTCCTATGATTGGCACACAAGCGGCAGGTAAACACTATTTTATTTCTAGAAATGAGATACTTTTTTTCGAATTTTTTTATCCCATTTCAAAATGTTATCATGCCGTTCATATATACTCAGTAGAATTCTATCTAGAAAAAGCTCATTTTTGCCAAAACTGATAACACAAATATTTGAGAAGGGACAAATTTTATTATTCTCCTTGATTCGTTTACATATAAATATTATTCTCCAAAATGTTTCATTCAAATTTATATAAAATATATATTAGTGCTTCACTTCATAAATTTTTAAATTTACTTTATTTAGGAAGTTAAATATTTGTTGAAACTGTGACTAATTTAATTATAGATATGGCAATTCCACAATAATTTAATACAATACTTACGTCACAGTTATATTGAGTCAATCAATTTTTTACACATGTGCGTAATTTATTTTTATTTTATTAGTCGAAAGAATAAATCATATTGGCTCTTAGCAAAAAGTATGATCACTTTTGCAAGTTTGTCTGTTTTTTTAATTACCTCATTAATTTGCATTAATTGGCAGACAAGTATCGCTGGAAAATCCCTTGTCGCCAGTGACAGAAACCGAGAGAAGGTAGTGGCATCACCAATAGAAGTAGCATTATATAAGGAAATATAAGGAAATACATACCGATCTTTAGATGACAGATTAACGTCAAACGGAAATGATCATTGATCGCAATCGCAACGTTATAAGGCGAATTTGTCAAACGAACCAACGAAAAATTAATCTTCCAGAGAAATATCGTTATCGATTTTTATTTTCATTGCTTTTATCGTTGAAACCGCAGAACCTTCAATTTTGCAAGTAAAAGCTCCGTGAGTTATTTACGTTGCGGTACGCGGAAATTCCAAACCGGCGAAAAAGCTGATCGGAGATATATTGTTGGAAATGTTTCCCGCTAGATTCCAAAATTTTTATATTAATAAAAATTCAATGTTGCGGTTGAATGTACTACATTATAACAATGATAGTCAGCGATTATATCTCTGATTGTTATTGATTGATATATAAGAATGATAACGTGATTTAAATATAATTAATGATCGCACATAAATAGCTCATCGTATAACTCTTAAAAACGTAAGAGTTACAACTATTATTACAATATATTTATGTGTATTTTGCTATTAATCGTTAATATTGTCTATATAATGAAATCTGGCAAATTTACTGGCACTACAACGTGTAGTGCCATTAAATGATCGATTATTATATTGCTCCTTTTTTTATTGCTTTTTATTTGTAACGCAATACATTGAATAACCAATTTTTATATAAAAAAGAAACTTGTATAAATAATAAAAATTAATAGAATACTATATATATATATTACGATAAATTCTAAGAAATTGAAAAAATAACTTAAATATTTTAAATATTAAATACATATTTCTTCACAATTTTGTTTAATAATGTATATATAACGAGATGATATAAAATTGATTTATCTAATCTCAATTACAATATATTACGATATACAAATATATATTATTACTATATATACGAGAAACTGAATTTGGTGTTATAAATTACGATTTTATTGGAAAATTAATGGCACAAGGGTATTCTCATTACGTGATAGATGACGATAAATTTTATCGCATTGAAACCACATGTGTATAAAATCACAAAAGATAGCGAGTGAATTTATGCATTTAATACGGTGACCCAAAATGAGGTATACCTCGCCGGATTTTACATTCCATTAATATTGTAAAAAACAGTTTTTCGAAGTAAATTCAAGATTTAGCGCTATGTATGCTCTCTGCCGATCTAGTATTAGAGAGAGAATCTCATCGTAAAAAAGATTGTTTTTTTATTACATTCTATCATATTGTCGCAGCAACGCAAAAATGTCATGCCCAAAGTTCGCAGTACGAACAATGCACGTGATATTTATAATATACTTTTTTTATAAATCTTGTTTTTATTTCGCCTGTCGCCACGTTCTATTTCGAAGTTAAATGTTAAAATCCAAAATGAATATCAATGTTACAAACGCTCGATTTATCAAAAAACTTTCAGGTGAACTTTAAATAAAATAATCTAAAAGAATATTTCATGCTTGCAATCGATATATGGATTTTTGAAAATACATTCTTTAAAAAAATATATGTGTGTACTGTAAAAAGATAAACAGTATGATAAATGTGCAAACTATATACTAGCTTTCATCAACATATTACAAGAATTAATTAAGACAAAATATATTTAAGATTCAAATAAAATTTGAAAAAATTACATTTATATAGTCAAGATTTAGAAATGTTAAAAATAACATTTTTAAAATATAAGAAGAGTTCTAACAACTGTGATATATTTCTGATTATAGCTAATCAAATTCTCTTCTAAGCTAGATTGGCAAATTCGAATAAATTTGAGAAAAGTAATTAATGATCGCACGCGGCCGAAGGAAAGTGAATAAAACTTGTTGCACACGAGTGTTTATTTTTTAACCGCATAGGTAATTTATAATTTACATGAGCACCGGAAGAATGTCTTACAACACAATTAATTCCAGAGAGAAGTCATTATTAATATAATATTATTTTACAAATAATAAAAATAAAAATATAATAAATTAACTTTTTAATTAATATACACGTAATAGTATATATTTCAAAGAGTTTTATAATATTCTTTTATTTTAAATAATTTATTATAATTATATCTAATTGCTTGATTATTATTTTGCGTAATGCAATAATCTCTTTCAAACTGTGTAAGATTTTTGGAATCATTCTCTCGTTGCTTGTGTGCGAAAGGTTTCATACCTGTATGTTCATACTATCGCGAAAATAGAATATATTACATTTTTAAAGCTATCGTGATAAAAATCTTATATGTATAAAACCTCTGTATATAACAATATGTTTCCATCGATGTTTTTTCTGCCACAATACGCGACGAGAAAACCGCTCATATGCTCGAGATTTTATCGTCGATATAAATGTCAGGTTTTTGCAACTCACTTGTCCCGATTTACAAGCCGCGTAGGTTGTTAGGTTGTACATAGATGTAAAGGTGTACGTATATTGTATTCATATTTTGTATGATACTCATATTTTTTAACTAAAATAGTACTCGTAAATGAAAGTCCGCGATACAACGACGCTCCTTTTTAGGTTTCATGCTATTAGATACGAATAGATTTCTTTATAACACATTACCAAATTTTATATTAATAATACAATTTTTAACATGTTTTATAATCATAATACCCACATAAATTTCAATTTAAAATTTTATTATAATTGCAACTTATAATTCCCTATTCTACATGCAAATACAATTTCCTTTTAATTATAGATGTATAGCTCCATTTGATAATTATATTTTAAGAAAGAGAGATATAAAAAATTCAATTTAGATTAAGAATAACGTTTATTTTCATCGGAATTGTGACCTCGACGTTAAAGTATAATTAATTCAGAAGCGATTTGATTAAATTCATCAAATCTATTATATTCAAAGTTTTAATTTCTATTGTATGTTAACGGCGCCAAACGCACGACCAAGAAAAGGCAACCAAAAAGAGACTCGTGATTTTATTGGACCTTATTGAAACACATGGGGGACCATATAAAACAAATGTATGAATTTAAGAGGTAGATTTCAGAGTTCACGCAGCGAACGATCCGAGATGCATCGTTATCTCAAATCTATTTCATGCATATAATTCTCACATTATATGGAGACTGCGACGGACTTATTAATCGATAAGGATAATTATCTAATATACAATTCAGCACTCGCATTTTCATAAACTTTCATTTAAATGTGACAATTTTCGAGCATGAGTCTATGCGAACCAACGCATCCTCCATATTATTGTATAGGCCAGAAAATAACGAGCCTTATGAAAATGTGGCGAATTAACCACCATGGGAGAAACAATATACATACACTTCCTTATATATTTACATTTACTAGATATACTTGGCGGCTAATAAATGATGATCTACATTCTATCGTTGCATGATTGATTCTGGATACGCCTGTCTAATAATTCAAAATCTATGACAGTTGTATTTAGAACTGAAGAAGCGATGCGAATATGGATCTAGGAATCCTTCCAGAAACATGGATGAAGTCTACTGATAACAAATATTATTAAATAAAATATCATTTTTATTAATAGTACGACATTAAATAAATTGGCAATTAAAATAATATACAGGATATATTAAATTTTTATTCCCTTGATATTTTTATATTAGATTGTATCTAATTTTTAATTTCTTAATATATTATTTTATTAGAAATAAATAAAAATTCTAACTCTTTCACGAAAATAAATGATAATAAAAATAAATTTTTTATAAGAGAAAAATTAGTTAATAAAGAGATGCACTTTAATGCAGTTTGCTGTCAGTAGACATTTTCCAAATTGTTACGGGTATATAATTATTGTTATTTAAACGATTATACATATATATACACTCCGCAAATGCGTTTCACGCATTGCGTTGTCTTTATCACAGATTGCACAAGATATTTTGTACCCTGTATTAGACACGCACCAAAAATCTCGCTGTTTCTGAATCTCGTTGTAAAAAATAAGGTACACATTTTATGTCAACTAAATACATTTAATATACTATTACTATCGAACAATTTAGATGACAAATCTCTGCACTCGATATCATGACCAAAAATTCTTATGATGCTCAATAGAGACATTAATGGCTGATTTACATATATATATAGAGAATTTGATTTTTTACTTGACAATCAATATATATATTACACGATACATATATGTGTATATTATTTGTAATATACACAATGTATATACACATATATTATTTCGATATTTCTACTCTCACTCTCTAACCACGAAACCTTTTCGTTGTCAATTTTCCAAAATTTCCGATTTTCTAGGGATTATAACTGTAGAACTTTAACAAATAACTAATTCACTTTCTTAACACTCTCTTAGATATTAAACGCTTCAATTTTCTCTAGTGTTAAATCCAAAATTTTACAGAATATATTACTTGCTTAATTGCGAGTTGTTGTTCACTATATTTACAATTTCACAGAATCGCTCTGTATAACTTGAGAATCTCGTGCAATTTATATTAAACTTTCCCAATTAACACTTGAGATATAATTTACATGTATATATATATATAATTTGTAAAACACTGAATTATTAACTTTATAATGTTTCAACATAGATTACATGATACTGCAATTATCGCGCACAAAATTCGTGAACGGACATGATATTAATAAAAAGTATAATTATATACATTGCAATCTACAACTATTACATTTTGTTAAAAAATTGTATTAGCTTATTATATTTGCTATATCTACAATAATTATCTATTGCTCCAGATTTAGTTTCTATTTACGATCAATTTTTCCGAAACTAGTGAAAGGAAAAAATCTTCTTATGGCGCATTTGTAGTAACTGAAATATTGTAATTGTCCGTCTATGTAATAAATCCTTTTTATCTTTCCATGAATGTCAGTTGTCTCGCAAACTCGACTCAACCATTAAATCTCTCGTGATTTATCTCCGAGTGTTACTGTTCTCCCTTACGTATTAATCTTTCATTAAGCCAATATATATTTTACCTCTGTGAAAATTTTAATAACTCACTTTAATTTACCCATGATAATTTTTCTGTTAAAATATATTTTACATGTACGAATATTGTTCGATAAACTCCCTTATTCTAAATACTTTTACGATATAACGTTATTAGGTATATATCTCAATTTTCCTTTTTTTTCTTTTCTTTTCCTTTGTATTCGCCCTCTTAAATGTACATTTTTAGAGCTACATATTCTAGAACTAAAATTACAATTTTTTAGTTTTTATTTGTAAATATATATACATTATATGTTTTTATACACTTGAAAAGAATTTTTAGCAAAGGATAATTATAAAAATTTCTCATTTATTCGTTATTCTTTATTATTCTCTACATCAGATCTCCATATTATCGCATATGTCAAACATTCATAAGCAAACGTATTTCTTAATCAAATTTCATAAGACCGATTTCACTTAAATCTCATATTTTACACATTAATGGCCATCAAATTACAAGAAAAAATTTTGTTATCCAAAAACTTATCAATAAATTGATTTGGTAAAAATTTGAAAAAGAGAAAAATTTCAGATATTAGAAAGCTCTATAAACATTTTTTCTTTCTTTATAACACATACACTATACTTATATACACATCTGAGTGTTCCAGCACATAAGAATAAAACAAGCAAGATTGTTGATTAAAGTAACTAAGCCATGATCTTGTATAAAGAAATTTAAAATATTCAATTATAAAATTGT